CTTCAATCGGCTATTAAATCAAACTCAAGAGAAGTCAAAATTTCTAGACGTAAGAAAATCTTGAAACCCTGGATAACCCTAGGAGTTTTAAAATGTTTGAAAAATCGAGATAACCTAAATAGGAAACTAAAAAAGACCCAGATAATGAGACGCTTAAAATTACTTATAAGAGATACAGAAATTATTGCTCAGCCCTATTAAAAAAAACTTAAAAGAAACTATGAAAAACTTCAACTTCAAAATGCAGGAAAAGACAACAAAAACTTTGGAAAGCTCTTAAAGAGATTACTTATACTAATAAACCAAAAGAGATTCCGTTAGAACTAATAGATACAAACAATCCGCAAGCATTGGTGAATGGTGTTAACCAATATTTTACAAATGTTTTAAGAAACTTAGCTGAAGACTTATGTAAAAATAAGCCCCCAGTCCAACCCCATGTCTTAAATTCATGCTGTCACTCTTTCACTCTTCTATTAACGGATGAGAATGAAGTAAGGTACCTAATAACAGGTCTAAAGAGCAATTGCTCTGTTGGCCTGGATTTAATTTCCAGTGAGACCCTAAAAGCAAACAGGGATGTTCTAGCCTCTCCGATAGCGTACATTTGCAACTTATCACTTTCAACTGGAGTATTCCCGAGGATATATAAGAAATCACGAATCCACCCTATCCACAAAAGTGGAGACAGAGGCTGTTTCAATAACTATAGACCAATTTATATTCTTCCTACTATCTTAAAAATCTTAGAACGCATTATAAATAATAGATTAGTAAAATAAAAATCTTTTATCACATGCACAATTTGGCTTTAGAGCAAATAGATCTACATCAGATGCGGTTTTCGAACTAACAAGTTACATATTTAACGACTTTGACAATAAGAAAAAAACAATAGGTTTATTTTTAGATTTGACAAAGGCATTTGACATAGTCTCTGTCCCAATTTTAGTTAAAAAAAAACTTGAATACCTTGGTATCAGAGACATCAGTTGAAACTTCTTCAAGATTTTTTAATAGACAGAACACAATGTGTACAAATTGATAACATCATTAGCCAAGAAGTCCCTGTAAATTTTGGGGTTCCTCAGGGAAATATTCTAGGTCCAACTCTCTTCCTAATTTACATAAATAATTTTTGTCAGATGAAAATCCCAAATGCAAAAATAATTACCTTTGCAGACGACACGGTCCTTCTTATCAGTGGCAGTTCATGGGATGAGGTTTTCTCAAATGCTCAAAAAGGAATGAATATTGTAACGAGTTGGTTATACAAGAACTTTTTAACACTCAATGTTTCAAAGACAAATTATATCACTTTTTCTATTAAAAAAACTGATAAGCCTAACCTTACACATCGAATTGTTTCACACTTGTGTGATAATCCCAATTATACAAACTGTGCATGCCCAAAACTTATAAACATAGACTCAACTAAATACCTATATAATGATTGACAATAAATTAAGTTTTCACTATCACATTGACCTTCTAACGGCAAGAATACGCAAATTAATGGTTTTATTTAAGGCCTTGAGACATGTGGGTCAGGAAAAAGTAATAAAATCAGTTTACTACTCTCTTTGCCAGTCGCAACTAATGTACTGTATCACTTCATGGGGTGGTGCCTGTAAAACACATATACTGAAAATTGAACGAGCCCAAAGAGCACTTTTAAAATGAGCTCGTTCCTACCATTCGATTATCCAATGTTTGATCTCTATGAAAAATGGAAAGTCCTGACTGTACGACAGCTTTACATTTTATATACCGTCCTTAAAAAATATTCCCAGTTAAAATATGAACCAGAGATTTTTAGGAATTAGCGCCGCAAGGATAAAGTCTGTAATATTACTTTATACAGAACTAGCTTTACACATCGATTTTTCTATTACCAAAGTAGTAACCTGTATAATAAATTGAATAAGGAACTATCAATATATTCCCTTACAAAAACTAAATGCATATATATTTATTGTTGCGGAGTGGTTAAAAAAAATTGGATTATAACCGTACAGAAGACTTACTCTATAAATAAAAAATGTTCACATAAACGCGCATACACACAAGTGAAAACTAACACACACACACACACACACACACACACACACACACACACACACACACACACACACACACACACAAACACACGTACGCACGCAAGCACGCACGCACGCACACGCACACGTACACGCACACGCACACGCATACACAATATATGAGGTTACGAAACCACTGTTACTTTGTATTTTTTTTCTTAGTACAATTTTTGTTTTACATATAATTTAAATTGTCACTTATATCGAAATAATACATTATGATCCTACGATCTACAATATATGTAGCGCTCAATTACAAATATTGCTCTTATTTATATCTCATGGGGTGGAGACCTGGTGATTTGTAATACAGGCATTTTATTGTCTATCTCAAACACCAGCTCTCACAGATTCTAGGCTATGAGTATGAACATACCTGTATTTAAATAGATATAATTTTTATTATGTATGGTCGGTATTTGTGAGGAGAAATAAACATAATTATTATTATATTATATTATTATATAATTATAGTTGGTTATGAGTTTAGTTAATCGTTAAGGAATATGTAAAGAAAAAATCTGAAAAATTTTGTATTATTTATTTCATTTTGACAAGGTAATCGGTGACCTTTGATTAACTAATAGGTATCAAAAGTACAAAACGACAAAGGCAATAATAATCTCTATTTCTTATACATTCTAGTGATAAGTTAAATAGCATCTCTTATATAAGTGTCAATAGTTTATTTGGTACGAGTACACAAAACAGAAGTAACAAAACACATTTGTTGTGCGACAAGTAAAGATTAATAAAAATGCTTGCAAATTACTAAAATTGAATTTTTTTACGTAACAAAATTATAGCAGCCACTAATTAATATACTTTTGGTTATTATACTTAATTTTTTTAAAGCAGAGAAGATATTTCATTTTCGGCCATCTTTTGTACAATATAAGAAAAAAGAAATAAGGAAAAGTTCTTCTTGTAATTCGATTGTACTTGGTTTTGGTACAAATAAACATTAGTATCTCAATCATTGCCGTATGCAAAAATTTGTTATGCTCTGACGGCATATTCCGAAATCAAGTCAGAGCGCATTAATTTAGATTAAACTATAATATTATGAACTTATTGAATATATAACAAGGTATCACTGTATAATTATTTAAACTAATATATCTCTATATCCACGAAGTAGGAAAAATATGACAATATTATCGTATAAAATATATTAATACTTTAATTCTATACTCTAAAGTTTATAAAACAGTGCACGATTTGGATTGTATAAGTACCGCCAATTTAGCGCTTTTAGCGCCTGATCTAATGATGGTCCCAGAAATGTGAAAAAATTGGATTGATAAAAATGCTTATGAAGCATTTTACTTTCGCTAATGTTCCGTCAATCTTCAAAGAAAAAATAGAAATTGTTTGCATGACATTCACACAAAGGTAAAGAGCTGTTTGTAAGAAAATAATTTAAAGTTGACATAACATGTAAAATTAGCAATATACAAATAAGTGTTTATAGAAAAAAATTGCAATATTTTTATAGGAGTAGGGTGCAAACGGGAATGCGGCTTACCTGATCGTAAGTGTCGACCGCAGCCCACCCACAAATGCAACAGTTACTAAGTTCGTCCTACTGCTGAGTTTCTCTTATTTCTATGAGGGTTATGAAGTATTTCAAAATATTTGGACAATTATTTGTATAAGTATATCTGGGACCGCTTTTATTTCTATCTAGAAGTTTATTGAACAAGGCGTTTTAAAATAATTCAATTTTACATTTGTGTCAAAAATACAAAGTTTTGCATTTTTCAAGTTAAAGGTGCCTTAGCTCCTTTAAAATATGAGTCGTTTCCTTTATGGCTTTAATTATTAATTATTTTCAAATGTTTTACTTATATACTCGTAACAATACTAGAGATCTATCTATTCTTAAAGGAACGTTTAAAGTAGTTCTTTGAAAGATTTTAAACATAAGGTTTTGTTAACGATTCTAATTGCAGCCAAGTAATAAATAAAATCACAGATAATATGAAACTTAATTTAGCGCTTCAATTTTGCAAATGTTTAATTTTTATTTTGTAATATATTTGTAATATTTTATAAACATCTAATTTAAAATCTCAAAACATGAAATAATATAATATTTGATTCGCTTAATATTTAGAAACTTAACAATCGCAAAATACACAGAAAATTTTAGCTATCTTGTCTGCGTAATGAAACTAAGCAATAAAACTAAATAATTTACGCAACACACAATATTCTCCACAGTAATCCAATCATTTTTAACATTTCATTAAAATATTCATATTTATAATATTTTTAAAAAGCAACAAATTAAATATATTTATTGGTAACCGGCGTTTCCTTTCAGACTACAATACTACTTAAATTTAGAGAAGCGAAATTTACATAAAATAATACAAGAAATCTACTTACATTCAAACAATACTAATTAATAAATTTTAACACTAAAATAGCGAACACTTTGAACATTTAGTCTATTTAGACATGTTTATCGTTTACGCACAAGGAATATATTCGTATATCTATTTTATTTCTATCGGTAGTGAAAATTCGGTACGGGAACTAACTTATTTTGAACATTTTATATTTACAAACACATTATCACTTCGTTAATATAACCATCGCTACTAACCGACATGGTTGCAAGTGGCTACAGTTCTCTCTTATCTGCGCCAGCAATGAGAGGTAAGATCTAGAGGATTCGGTAACAATTAGAAATATATATAGCATCTATATAATACGTAGTTTTACTATCTTACACGTTGGAAAAATATGGAATGTAATTTAGTAATGTGTTTAATAGTTGTGTATTGGCGCGTATTTATTGTTCGAATATATTAAAAGGTATCGTACAAAAGAATCATTTGGATGCTTCGACCAGATAATTGTAACGGCGAATTTTATTCCTTACATCAACTATCAGGTGTGGTCGACGCCGCTTGCGGCTGCAGCTGCGGCGCGACGGACTGGAGCCACACGTCCCATGAACGATCTGATCTCTTCGAAATACGTCTCTTCTGGTGATCTTCGACGGCTTTCATCCCCATTTTCTGCTTCGTGTTTCTTCAGATGCCTATCCAGGTTGGTCTGTTGTCCGAAACAACGATCACAATGACGACATCGGAATGGACGCTCCTTATTATGAATGTTCCTCACGTGTCTCTGGAGGTTTGAAGAAATGGAGAACGACCGTTCACAGTATTTACAGCGGTAAGGCTGTTCACCTGTATGGGTCCTTAAATGTCGGGTCAGGTTTGCACTGCGAGGGAAGGCCTTGCCACAATATGAGCATGTGTACCGATCTCGGGCTCTATTTGCTCCTGGGTTCGGAGGGACAGGTGGCGGTCGTGGCGCGCCTGGTGCGAGCAGGGTTGCTGCTGCCGCTGGAAGGAAAGGGTAGCGGCCAAAAGAGGCCGGTAAAGCTAACGGTAATCGTCGACAGAATTGGAGCAAGGCTGGGTGTGCTGGATGAGCCGGATGCGTCGGGTGTGGTGGTGGAGACGGCACAATCAAGTTGCAGTTCTCGTCTTCTAATCGTTGCGGGCGTTTGTGCGTTACTCTTAGATCGAGGGGCTCATCGGCACGCGGGGAGCCGATCGGGCTGGGGTGGTGATCGTGGGGCGAAGAGGGCGGAGAGGCGAGGCGGCGGGGCGCCGCGTGTTTTTCGCGCATGGCGGCCGCCGCGCACGCGCTCATCGGGCTCGTGCGCCACCGACCTGTAACAATAATATTGTTTATAAGAATATAATAGAGTTAAATATTTTTTATTAAATATATATTACAATAATTCTTCATCATCATCATTCCAGCCCTTCACAAGTCCACTGCTGAACATAGGCCTCCCCCAAGGTATGCCACAAAGCACGGTCCTGAGCCACCTGCATCCATCGACTTCCTGCATATCTTACCAGATCGTCACTCCATCTAGTGGGGGGTCGCCCTACACTTCGCCTACCGATACGAGGCTGCCACTCGAGAACCTTTTTTCCCCAACGGTTGTCGATTCTTCGAGCTATATGGCCGGCCCATTACCACTTCAGCTTACTAATCCGTTGGGCTATGTCGGTCACTCTAGTTCTACTGCGGATATCCTCATTTCTAAGTTTATCACGCAGAGAAACTCCGAGCATAGCCCTCTCCATAGCTCGCATTCTTCAATAATTCTTATTGAAACTTATTTATGTTGTTTTTATTTATTTATTTAATTCAAAAACTCTTGTGGCTTACAGAAAACCCAACACGCACACAAGGTAAATTTTTATTGTTATCACTGGTTCGGATAAATCTTTTCTATTAGGAAAAACCAGCAGGAAACCCAGCGGGTCTATTGGTTGAAAAGAATAATTCCCAGGGTTTATCATCAGTTACGTAGTCTTTAATATTATAATAAATAACCTTATAAGTAGTCTAGTAAAATAATAAATAATACTAAAAAATTTAATTTTATACATTTGAAACATTTTAATAGATGCGTGCTAAACATTTTTTGGGACTTTGTTATAAAGGCGTATATAACCAAGACCATGGAGGACTTACTGACTTTTTTGAGTAGAGTAAATATTATAACTACCTTGTGCTTGTGTCTTGTATTTATAAAATGCATATCACTATTTTAATAAAATAATTCTTGTTTTTGTGTACATACATAAAATTTTTGTAAATGTACTGAGATATCAAAGTTAATGTAATTATTTCTATAAAATCAATATAATAAAAGTATATATTAACTAAGTAAGTAATATTACGCAGTAGTAACAGCCACGATATAATTTTATGTGCTGATGATCAGCACGTAAAGTTATATCGTGGATATTCCTTACGAGGTAAGGTATGTCATTAATATAAACTGACCTTCCAGGTCAGTGTCTGTGGGTGTGCCTTGAGGAATTTCCTTATTTTATTTCCATAGACACTGACCTGGAAGAACTACTCCTATTGATAACAAGTTTGAGTTCTATTACTAGAATATGGTGTAATAAGTTTAAGTTTTTACGCCATAATGATATATAAGTAGGTAACTGATAAAAAACGTATGGTTATCTCAGTTGAAAACCTTGGAAAGGTCACAAAATATTCCCAAAGCATCTTCTGAGTTTTCCATGCACAGAAAGTACATTTAATAAGTTCAAAATCGATGTCAGTTGTCGAGTCTTGTAAAACGAAACTGATTTTTATAGAGCAAAAGAAATAATAACGAATGATCTAGTATTTTTCAAAAATTTTGCTAACCGTTGGTAGGTCTAAAATTAGTGGAGTCTAATTTATTACCAGTTTTAATTAAAAGTAATGTTGTAAAAAGAACACTAGATTCCATAATATTATTAAAACAATACTAAGGTGGAGTGCGATTGCATTTATTATAGGCGCAATATAATATATAATATAAATATAATAATAATGCTCTGCGGTATTTCTAATATGTATTAATAGTTTCAAAATATTTTACAATATATTCTGATAATATTTTATGAATGCTAATTATTTTGTGTAGAAATTTACATTTTGTTTGAATAATGAGTCGGCAACAGTAGGAGAAGAATTCAGTAGTAGTCAAGATTGAATGTCGGTAAAATTTGGCTCAAAAGCCATGGCAACATCTTGATCTGATTTGGTTAACTTTTTTTTTGTGACTACAGTAAAGTTTACCCAAAAAAGATCACTTAACCTATATTATGCTTTTACGTGTTATACACTGCAGTATGATGGTTGTAGTAAAATTGTGTCAATTGGGAGAGACCAGGCTTCCAAATAATATCAAGGTTTAATAGCAGCTGTGTTTTTTATGATAAATGGCGACGAGTAAAAAATCCTTTTACAGGTATCGAGGCATTCCACTTTAGTAATCAGAGTGTAGAAGTAAGGAGTACAGACTGTGTATTAAAAAGTGTCCATAGAAAACCGTTAAATAAGGATGGCGCCACTATATCTACGGGCTAAATTTTAAAGAACGTGCCGAAAAATATAATGGGATAGATTACTTTTTCGAGGTTATTATTTACTAAATAGATTTGAGAGCTGCTGAGCAGTCTAGCAGCAAACTTCAAACCGTCGAAAACTGCTAAGTTCATTTCATCCCAGTAGCTACTCCAGCGCTGTTGTGGGGAGTTTTTGAACTGTTATTTACTGCTTACAGATGGCCACTTTTTCAACTATTCTACTACGGGAGTTGGTACTCCTTACTTCTACACTCCATAGCATCTGCATTTAAATTCTTGACCTAGGATGGAAGGAAAGAAAAATGTAGGTATATATATATATATATATATATAAATCTACAGTTTTCATTTAGACCACTCGAACTGTTCTTGTAATAGGTATTATTTCTATTATTCTTCGGTGGTATGATATCTATCTTGTGAATAAAATGATATTATGTACTGGTTTTTAAAACAAAATATAACAAAATAAATAAAACTAGTTTTCACGGATTTTATAGTGTATATTAACTAATTACTCCTGACGTTTTGAGCACTTTACAGCACCCATGGTCGTGGGGGGGGGGCTGAGATGTTCGACGTTCTAATGTCCTATTTAACCACCGCTACCTCCAGATTAAAATTATTAATTTTTACTGCGTAGATACCGGAACAAAATATACGCGATAAAATCCATAAAATCTAGTTTAATTTAAATGGGTAGTGTTCGCGTAAATATAAGAAATCATTATACAATAAAATGAGATTGATACCCAAGAAGGTATATTAAAATATATAACGAAATTACGAAATGACGCGACCAGAGCTGCAGGGTGACCATCTGATCGATGTCAGCTCCTACGCTCGCCTTCAGTACACGCCCACATACTTACGACATCAGAATCTAGATCACTTGATACCGAAACCACGACTTTTTTCAATTAATAATTGACATAACTTTATTGGCTACTTTATTATATATAAATACATATTACCTACGAACAAGTTTCCTTACAGACGCTGAGCATTATCTGTATTGACAGTTTTAATCTCAACTAGACCGTTCTCGCACTTTATTTAAAATCGATTTTACCACGAAAGTTTCAAAACATTAAGCGGTTTAAAGTTTCAAAGCGGTAAGTGATATCACAGAATATGCCTTTTCACTTTTTGATAAAGCCACAAGACTCCAATTAGGGTAAGTAAATATTTATTTTTTCTATAATAATTATCCGTATTATAATATATATAAAAATTATTATTCCTACTAATAATGCGGTAAAGGATACTATTACACCACACAGTTAATTTGTACTCGTAATTTACGTTTACAATTTACTATTCACTACCCGATATCATCCCGTTGGTGTCATAAGAGGTCACATATGGAAACATATCAGGAGACGGGCAGCAGCTTCTTCCTAATAACGACTAAACATAAAAAATAAAGTTAGGGTTGCTAACCCGCTCACCATGCGTGGCAACTATGGAAAATACCCCCTGTAAGGAAATCTATGGGGGACGGCTATGTTCATCTGTGGACTTTAATAGGCTGTAACGGTTAACCGTTTAAAATTTGTGTTTCTTGTCAATTTGTTATATATTTACACGTACAGACAGATTTCGAATAAAATCGGAAGTGTTAAAATTACATTGGCTAAGCCATCGGTTTAGACCTAGTAGAAAATAATACAAACACTAAACCATAAGCTTCTATCGTAAACTTAAAAATAAAATTCGAATTTGGTCCTCTTGCCTTTCACCAACGATAACTCTGTCTTATATTACATCATTCTTGATGGCGTTATTACAAAAATAATAAGAAGTAGTCGCGGTACCGCAAATTGGACAACTCCATTCCGTATGATTGATCGGTGCGTGTATCACCCACGTATTACCACGCACAATTGGCATGCGGTTCATTCAAGATTTGGTCTACTGATAGCACCAAGTATTAATTTGAATTGTTTTACAATTACATTATAGCGTAATAATTTTGACGGATCGGTATTACTACGCCTCATATGATTAAATTACACTACAGTAGAAAACTTTTAGTATACGGAAACTTATGATTACGTTATGTGAAGATGGTAGTAACCTGACCATTAAGAACTATTTTTTTACACAGGCGAGCTAATAGTCCATATAATAGTAAGTGGTTTTTGCAGCCAATGGGAACCTACCACGATTTAAAACAAAGAAGGTTACACGTGTGCTTTCAGAACTAAGTGCCAAGATGGAAGGATTCACAACCTGTAATTATATTGGTACTGTTACTTAGCGGCTGTTATAGGTAAAAATGGTATCAAGCCAGTTGTTAGCTTAATCATTAAAGAAACCCGACCACCTTTTTTATATGATATGGTGATAAATGAGCACACAGTCCACCTGATGGTAAGTGGTTGCTGTGGCCCATAGACATCTACATCTTCCTCGATTACGAATCAAGATGCAGTTGCGTCACCCGTGAGGACTAAGATGGAATGCCTCGTTTCCAGTAAAAAGGAAAGGGTCTCCGGTTCTCTACTCTCACCATACGAAACTCAATAGCATTAAGCTACTATTTGACGCTGGTATTCTGTGAGAGCGTGGTCCTTCCCCGGTCGAGCCGACCCATTCGTGCTACAACTATACTACTAATATAACTGAAGCATGGCTCTACCACGTAAAAACCTACTGAAGTTCATTATTATAGATTATTATGGATTGAAGTATCTAATTGAATAGTATGTATTTCTGAGAGGTAAAATTGATACTTCCAGTTCCTTTCCTTTAATGGGGAAGGGAACATTACCTGG